GCCGGTTCCGCGGGGCTGGCTGGCGGGCTGGCGGCCGGGAGTGGCGGCGGTGGCGCCTGACAGACAGTGAGGGCTGGGAGCGGCGTGGCGGCAGTGAGGAGAAATGTGGGGCCCGGGGGTGGGGCGGGGCACCAGCCTTGGACAATCAGCGCACCATCCAGGTCAAGTTAGAGCTGGAACACCGCACCCAGCTGCGCAAGAAGCCCGCCAGGAGGGCTTCACCCACGACTGGATGGTGTTTGTCCGAGGCCCTGAGCAGTGCGAGATCCAGCACTTTGTGGAGAAGGTGATCTTCCGGCTGCACGACAGCTTCCCCAAGCCCAAGCGAGTGTGCAAGGAGCGCCCCTACGAAGTGGAGGAGTCGGGTTACGCTGGCTTCCTCATGCGCATTGAGGTGTACTTCAAAAACAAGATGTAGAAGACAGAAGTAGCTCAGGGTCCTGGAGGAATGGAGGACATCCAAGTTCATCCAGGGCTCTCTTAAACTCATGCAAGTTTCAAACTTCATATAATGCCCCAAATTAAAAGTAGAGCTAGTGCACCTGGCAAAACAGACTTGTCTCCCTTCCTCAGCTGACTCTAGATGAAGCAAGCACTCTGCTAAGAGGATAATATTTTACTAACTATGGAGATGGGACTCCCTATGACCACATGAGCAGCAGGGACCTTGGGTCACATGACAGTCTCTCTCCACCTTATGTCAATTCCAGAATACAAAGTAAGAAAAATTTTACATTAACTTGCACTCCGAGTGTTTATGTTTTACCACGGAAGGAGAGATTGCCTCAAAGCAAGCTTCGGTGTTTAGGAACTTGGATATTTAGCCAGTTTACTATAGAAATATTAAGTTGCAGAAAAATGTAACAATTTATGCTTGTTAAAAACATATAAAGGACTAAGTTTTACAATTATGTGGAATTAATTTATGTGATTCTGAATCTCTGGAAATTTCGACTTCCTTAAACAAAGCAGTTATCCCAATGACAGTGCTGCAATGGTAATTTTCTTGGACAAGGTTGAGGTAGTCAAAGTGGTGAATATTTAGAATAATATCATCATTGAGCTTGTTGGCTGGCAAGAACATACAGTGTTACTTGCGAGTTTTCATTTTTAGAATTAGGAAATAAAATACTATCACTGGGTTTAGTTTGCTTAAATCAGAGTACTGCATACACTAAGATCGAAGTGGATTAAAGATCTAAATATTAAAACAAACACTAAACTCCTGGAAGTAAGGTAGAACTCTTGAAGACATTGGCATAGGAAAAGACTTTATGAACAAAACCTCAGTAGCACGGGAACTAGCACAAAGAGCAACAACTGGAATCTCATCTTATTAAAAAGCTGCACTGCAAGAGAAACCACCAACAGAGCTAAGAGACAACCTACAATGTGGGAAAAAATTTTTAGCAGCTGTACCTCAGACAAAGGACTACTATCTAGAATATATAAAGAACTGAAAAAAATCAGACCCCTCAAATTTAAAGATCCAATTCAAAAATGGGCATCTGAAATGAATAGACATTTCTCAGACAAGTAAAAGCAGCAAATAAGCATATGAAAAAATGTTCAAGATCACTGGTCATTCCAGAGATGCAGATGAAAACAACACTGAGATTCCACCTCACCCCACAGAGAATGGCTGATATCAAGAAATCAACCAATAACAAATGCTGGTGGGGGTGTGGAGAGAAAGGAACCCTGCTCCATTGTTGGTGGGAGTGCAGACTGGTGCAACCACTGTGGAAATCAGTATGGAGATACCTCAAAGAATTATGCTTAGAGGTCCCATTTGACCCAGCTATTCCTCTGCTGGGTATCTTCCCAAAAGAATTAAAAGAATCATACCACAACGATATAAATGCCACTCATGTTTATAGCCGCACAGTTTGTAATAGCTAAAGCTTGGAAACAGCCCAAGTGCACATCAACTAGAAACTGGATAAAGAAGATGTATTTTTTTTTATAAAATGGAGTACTACTCAGCCATAAAGAATGAGAAACTAGAGACATTTATAGCTAAATGGATGGATATTGAGGCCATACTCTTAAGTGAAATAAATAGGACACACATGTAAATACCAAATAGTTTCTTTGGTGTGAGAAACTGAAAGTGTAAATAAGGATTAAAATGATTAAAATGAATAATTGATAATTTGAAATAGGAAGAAAAGGTCCAAAGGGGTGGGGGAAGTGGGAGGGGAAGGGGAAGGGGAAAGGAAAGGAGGGAAAGGAGAAATTATGAGAAAAGGAAAAAATGGAAACAAAGTCTTTGTAAATAGGGAAGGGAGCACAGGGAATGGGGAAAAAATAACCAAGATACATCATGTACAGGTACAAGCACCCAATGATAAATGTAAACATATTGTATACCTAAAATGCGCAAATAAAAGAATTTAAGCAAAAAAGAAAAAAAAGGAAGGAAAGGGTGATTGTCACAGGGGAGAGAGGGAAGGAGACTAAGCTAAACTTTTGCCTGAGAGGTTCTCAGACAAATCCGTTGTTTGAAAAGAGAATATAAGTAAGTTGATATGGTAGAAATTAATTCCCTTAAAGCAACCATGGCTGTAGACTCTGGGAGAGTCTTCATGTAAACCTAGAGATACCTAGTTTTCCCTAGCTTGAAGACTACAGGTGTCTGACCCACTCTCAATGAGAAAAAAAATGCCAATGGCCTTGATGAGTTGTTAACTTACACATAGAAAACCTCTTGTGTCCAGATTATGTTAAAGGCTGAGGCAGAGGTGGTATGGAAGAAATAAATGCACTGTATATGAGACACAGTCCCTGCCCTCAAGAATCCATAATCTCATTGGGGAACTTGATAAGATACATAGTCACAAAAAGATTAATAGCCCCAAAAAGCAGTAAATGATCATCACAGCTGTCAGTGGGTCACTTCTAGGTGATGACAAGGTTACATTTCAGGTAGCCCTTGATGCATCCAGATTTCAGAGAGCTAGGGAAGAGAGAAAGGAGGGCACTGTAGGCAGTGTGGCAGCCATACAAATATGGTTAAAAGATTTACAGGCCGGAGATTTAGCTCAGTTGTTTCGCCACCTGCTGCACAAGCACAAAGACCCGAGTTCGATCCCCAGTATCCCAGAAAAAGCAGATTTATATTAGGTTCTTCTCCAAATTTCTCTTGGTTACTTAACTGGGCAAGTTATATTGTGCAAGTTACTTGATTTGTTTAAGCTTTGGATTCCTAATCTATAAAATGGAGTTAATACCTATGTTGTAGAATTATTTTGAGTATTAGATTACATCTATAATCCAGGTATTCCAATGTTTTGCTGCTTTTCAGGGCTATCTTTTCCATTGGTAGCCAAGTATGTATATATCTGAAGTGCTCTCCGCTATGAATAGGTATTCTGAACTCTGCCTCTCAACTTTGAAGTTCCCACTGTGATTTATATTTTCCTGGTTTTTGCTTGTTATCCTCTGCTCCATGGTATTATTTCAGGTTGCTCTAGAATTCTGAAACAGCTTTCTCCAGTAAAATCATGATGTTATGATTGGCTGGCTTCAAAAGGGCGCAGTATGGGAAGAAACAGTACTTTCCTTGTATCTCTTTCTAAGCTTCATCCTTTTAGCCCCTACCTCAGAGATCACATTGCAATCAAAGCTTTACTACAACTCATAGTTCAACAAGAGTCATTACACCTTCAAACGAGATGTAACGTAAAACACTAAATGTGACTTTCTAAAATTCATCAGCACTGTGCAGAATGAGGAATCCCTTACTGGCTTTTTCCGCCATACTACCTAATCTGCCACTCTTGGACCTGTTCCCGCTGAGATCAAAACCCCCTATCTTAGGCCTAGGACTCCTATCATCAATCTCTTCCTATGCTCAAAAGAGCCAAAAATTAGAAAGTTAAGAAATTTGAAAACTCAGCCAGGCATGGTGACACATACCTGTAATCCCAACAGTGTTAAAGACTGAGGCAGGAGGATCACATGTTCAAGCCTAGCCTGTCAACTTAGTGAGTTAGCCAGGCCCTGTCTCAAAATAAAAATAAAGACTGGAGGGCCGGGGATTTAGCTCAGTGGTTCCGCCACCTGCCTCGCAAGCGCAAGGTCCCGAGTTCAATCACCGGTACCCAAAAAATAAATAAATAAAGTCTGGTGATATAACTCACTGCAGAAGCCCCTGGTTCAATACCCATTACTACACAGAAGATAAAAAAAATTAGAAGACAACTCTCTAGGGAAGATAAGCCTTTTTATTTTCTTAAGCAGGAGAGTTTAGGGCTGGGGATTTAGCTCAGTTGTTCTGCCGCCTACCTCGCAAGTGCAAGGACCTGAGTTCGATCTCCGGTACCAAAAGAAAAAAAAGCAGGAGAGTTTAGCTCAACAACTTCACTTTCTCTGTAGAAGAGAGATTGTGGTTCTTACAGCCTATACAGTGTGTTCCTACGTTGTATGACCAAGTGCCCCATTAACGTTTCCCAGAATGACTTTAAATACGGATGACTGCTGAAAAGCTTAACTTTTCTGGTTGCTGCTGCACATATTTAAAAGACTTACCACAATGCCCAGGCCCCCCAAAAGAAAAATATGTTCAATAAACTTTTCTTTGAAGGAAAGAACAGCACTGTCAGATCTGTGTGTTTTAGAACAGTTGTCCCCTTAGTGGGGAAATGGACTGAACAAGGAGAGACTGGGGGCACAAGGGGCAATTAGCAAGGCTGTGATGAAGTTGTGAGGTCATGAAGGTTTTGTTTTTTGTTTTTTGTGGGGTTTTTTCGTGCTGAGGATCGAACTCGGGACCTTGAGCTTTCAAGGCAGGCAGTAGAACCACTGAGCTAAATCCCTGGCCCTTCTTTTTCATGAAGGAATCCAGGTACATGTGTTGCTGGCTTTTAACTCTTTGTCAAAGTGTAATATGCATATAAGTACAAATGTCATAAATATACAGCTTGTTGAATTTTCATTGTTTATGTATTTTAACATATATATAAGGTTGTGTGATTTGGCTTTATTTTTCCCTCCAGATAATTTTTATGGTGGGACGAGGATACCTATCTCCAGATCTCAGCAAGGTACGGAGTAACTGTCCAAAAGCCATGAAGAGATTAATGGCAGAGTGCCTCAAAAAGAAAAGAGATGAAAGACCACTCTTTCCCCAAGTAAGAAAAACTCCATACTACCTAAAAAACAGACTAACATTCAGAGGCAGATTTGTGAGCACTTTTAGGGTTACATAATCTGTATCTCATGGGTTGAACTCCATGTGATTATGTACAGACCCAGATAAGTAACCACAGGGTGATGACTTTATAAAGGTTGAACAGAAAATTGGGATCCCAGTACAAAATATTCACAAGGACTTTGCTTTGTCCAGCAGTTTTCAAACTTTTTGGTCTTGCAGTCCTTTTCTTTTTCTTTTTTTTTTTTTTCACATTTAAAAATTATTGGGCTGAGGTTTTAGTTCAGTGGTTCCACCGCCTGTGCGGCAAGCTCGAGGACCCAAGTTCAATCCCCGGTACCAAAAAAAACCCAGAAAACTTCACTGACAACATTTCTGCTCCACAAAATAAAACAAAGCACAGAAACCTATTTGGGGCCGAGGATTTAGCTCAGTGATTCCGCCACCTGCCTCACAAGCACAAGGACCCGAGTTCAATCCCTAGTACCAAAAAAAAAATTATTAAAGACCCCCGAAGAGCTTTTGTTTATGTAAGTAATTACTCTTTTCCAAATCAAAAAAATTAGAAGTGGTTATTGTTTCAGATTTTTCAAATGTTTTTGTATAAACAACTTTTTTGTATAAACAGCTTTTTTATGCTCACTTTGACAGCATATATACTAGATTCTCTGCCTTTATATTCATTATACTTCTAATATCTCATGTGTTGCCTCTGAAAACTCCATTTACACTTATAAAATGATAGCAAAAAGGTAAACAATGTCTTATTGTTGTTAGGAAAGTAGTTTTAACCTGCATGCCATCTAGAGGTCTGCAAACCACATTTTTCCAACTACTGCTTTAATTCTTCTTGATGGTAAAAGTAAACAGAATTTAAGCTTCCCTTTCATATGAGATCTTTTTTGTCATTGTTGTTTTGTTTTGTTTTTGTATTTTGAGACAGGGTCTCACTATATAGTTCAGACTGGCCTTGAACTCACTGTTTAGCCCAGGCTTGCACTCACAGCGATCCTCCTGCCTCAGCCTCCCAAGTGCTGGGATTACAGATGTGCACCACCATGTTCGACCATGCTACGTCTTTTTGAGAGACAGGTCTACCAGAGGCAGAAAAAAAAAATCAATTGTTGATGCATTCTGCCTCCTATTCTTTTAACTTCCCATTGTTTTTATATCTTTTCATACTGTCAGGCTAAATCCCTTCCGTTAATAATCTTTAATAAGCCTTACAAAGAGCAGGCACGGGGCACTTGCCTGTACTCCCAGCAACTAAGAAGGCAGCCAGCAGGAGGATCACCTGAGCCCAAGAGTTCAAGGCCTAGGGCAGGGATTTAGCTCAGTGGTTCCCCTGCCTGCCTCCTAAGGGCAAGGTCCTTCCTGAGTTCCATCCCCAGTACCAAAAAAAAAAGAGTTCAAGGCCAGCCTGGGTGACATAGCAAGACCCTCCCCATCCCCTCTCAAAAGTAAAGTAAAGAAAAAGGAAAAAAACCTTACAGAGGACTGACATTAAGTATCTGAACAAGCTTAGAGAGCATATCTGTAGTATATAAGTGCAGGTTTCCTGATCCTTCAGAATTTCCTGATACCACCATATGAATATACCTCGGTAAATCAACAGTTTATGTGGGAAATCCTGGCTCTCATAATCTGTCACCTTAATTACTGAGATGTTCCTTCGTGAACCTTACGTTGTTTTTTTTTTCTTGGTACAGGGGATCGAACTCAGGACCTTGCACTTGAGAGGCAGGTGTGGCACCCCTGAGCTAAATCCTTGGCCCACCTTATGCTTTTGAATACCCAGTCCACACTAGTTAAACAAATCACTGTTAGAGAAATGAGATTTGTTCATCTTTTTTTTTTTTTTTTTTTTTTGGTACCAGGGATCGAACTCTGGACCTTGCACTTACAAGGCAGGTGCAGGAACCACTGAGCTAAATCCCCAGCCCTCATCATTTATTTTTATCTGAATATGTATCATCTTTTAAAAATCTAAAAAGTGGGGCCCAAGGATGTAGCTCAGTGACGCTGTGCCTGCCTGGCAAGCTCAAGATCCTGAGCTCAATTCCCAGTTCCGCAAAAAAGAAAAAATCTAAAAAAGTTAGAATTGATGGCTTTAACAAGTGTCAGAGGCTGCCTCAAAGAAGGAGGGGAAGGCTAAATGGTTGGTTGGGTATGTTTTACATACGGGGATTCTATTACCCCTGCTCTGAGAAAGAGTTTTAGGATATTTACTTTTGTTTGTTTGATTTTTTAATAAAAAACACACTGGGCTTGAGACTATCAATGTGAAAGACTAGTATTAAACAGTGTCAGCAAGGCCCAGTATGTGTTCTCTTTGCACATCCCGGGTCCTAGTGCTTCTTATTTAAAGGGGCAAAATCCTCACCTATTTAAATTAATTATTAGTAATTATTATAATTAGTAATTATAATTACTAATTATTTCATTCACCCCATTTGATCAGAGAATGAAATGCATTTATGAATTTCCCAGATTAGTGGAAGCTACCCTTTTTAAGTACTATACATTTTCATTACAGGTTATCTTTTCCTATCATACAATTAGATGCCACATAAATCTTAAATGACTAAAGATCTAGATAACTATAAAATATGAAATCATTTTTATATAGTGTTGAGGTAGGAAAGCCTTTCCTAAGCAAGAGACAAAATCCAGAAGTTACAAAGTTTAATGTGGTATATATGTCTACATTAAATTGTTTAAACTTCTACATAGTAAAAAATAATATTGAAAGTTAAACAGAAAGAAAAATAATTGCAGCATATATTACAAAGATAAATATTTGCAATGTTCAAGGGGCCCCTACAAATTTTAGTATATGTGCTGCCGAAGTGAGCACAAGGGCTCCTACAAGTGAATATGATGTTCCAGAGGCTGAGGCAGGAGGATCACAGCGAGTTCGAGGTCAGCCTGAACTACATAGCGAGACCTGTCTCAAAAACACTGAAAAAAAAAGAAAGTGAGCAAAGGATTTGCACAGGTTATGCACAAAAGAAATGCAAATGGCAGATGAACTTAGGAAGAAAAACAAGATTTCAGTAGCAGTATTACCAGAGTCCTAGGCCAGAGGACTGACTGTGTGGGTGGGGTTCCCAACAGACCAGACTCAGCCACTGACTGCCCAGTTCCAATCAAAGAGTTGAATGGTGGTGAGGCCGAAAAGGAGTTGATCCCAGATCACCCTGCTGGGAAGGTATAGGGGACCACTGTCCTAAGCCCCATCTTTAGAGTACTGACAGGAGCTTTAAGGATTATGTAGAGAATGACAGAAGTGGAGGTCAAGAAGTATGCAGGCATGCAGACTTGGTCAAACTGTGGTCTGGGTGATCATTATCTCAGGTCTGGTTCTGTAGGGTTTTAGCCCCCAGGAAACTATTGTTGCTGAAGGGGCAATTCAGTCCCTGTCGTGAGATGATCTGTCTGCAAGATTTGCTCTTCTGGAGCCTGAGATAAACAGAGGAGAAGTGACTCAGAAAGAACAGGCCAGAGGAGCAAAATGGAGTCAGGATGATTATTGGGTCCCCTCCTTTACCCGGTTTTCCCCACAATCTTTTTTTTTTTTTTTTTTGGTACCGGTGATCGAACTCAGGACCTTGCACTTGTGAGGCAGGTGCCAGAACCACTGAGCTAAATCTCCAGCCCTTTTTTTTTTGGTACCAGGGATCGAACTCAGGTCCTTGAGCTTGCACAGCGGGTGGCGAAACCACTGAGCTAAATCCCCAGCCCCTACCCAATTTTAAAAGATCCTCTGCCCCTCATTAAATTCAGGTGTGGTGGTACAAACCTGTAATTCCAATGCTTGGGAGGCTGAGGCAGGAGGATTGCCACAAGTTCAAGGCCAGCCAGGACTCCATAGTGAGTTCAAGGCCAGCCTGAACTGTGTAGCAAGACCCTATCTCAAAAAATAAAATACTCCTAAAAACTGTACTACAGAGCCTACCTTCATAAGTATTCAGATATATACAAGAATGTTTACTATCATAGGAAAAATTAAAATCAAAGATTAAGGTATCTCTGTATGGATGACAGTGAACGACATATATATGAATGAGGGAAAGAGAAAACAATGAGAAAACTATGTAGTATGATGCTACTGTAAAAGGTGGTGAGGACAGGCTGTGTTTTCATATGTGTATGTACATTAAGTACAGGAACAACCCAGAAGAAAGTGTAGACCCTATTAGGAGTTACCCCTGGAGGGTGGGATTGAAGAGCCTTACACTTTTTCCTTTTCTGTATTACTTAAATTTTTATTTGCATGTTACTCTTGGAACTTAAAAATGTTTGTAACATTGCTTACTTCTTTGCCTTCTTATACTAATCTCTATAAAATTACAGGTAAATTAAAAAATAATTTTGGTAGCTCAGGATCATCATAATCATAATGATGGCTCCTGAAAGTTTTATTGAGTACTTAACATGTGCCAGGCGTGTGCCAACCCCTTATACATGTGTCTCATGACTGAAAAACACATCCTCATGCTGTATGCCTTCAAGGATCATAATGCATTTCTTTAAAATATGTGAATTTTCACATTTTTATGGATTGGTGTCTTTTTGTAGAATTTTCCTGTCTTCATTCACCCTGGGTTGCACTTGGTCCTTCTCATTCATGTGCTGCTAGCAGTCTGGGTCAGTGGGTCCTACTTTTGACTCTGTGTATAAGACATGTCCACTGCTGAGTTCCTTTAAAGGTTAAGTTCCTCAGCTGGTTCTGTTTTGACAGTCATATGGTGCTTTACTTACTTATACTCCATCTTCCTTCCAAGAGGACTTGCCGTCTGTGCCAAATAGGTATATCATCAGTCTTAATTTGTATTATTTTTTGTTCCAAGGCTGGCAAGTGATGTACAAGGTAAACAAAAACTAACTATGACTTACTTTGCCCATTTAGTTTGCAGAAATAAAAATTGTAGTATTGTGGTAGTTTCTTTCTTTGTTTTTTTCTTTATTTTTTAATGG